CCATGGTACTACTTCTGTCCATAGTGCACTGATGTTCTATTTTACCAAGTGAAATGACCAGAACATACATATAAAAATGTATATATTTTATCATCCAATAGCTAAATACCTATACCTATGTATATAAGAAATATTTGGATATTTAATATTTGGATGAATAAAAAAAGTACCTTTTGATATTCTTTCCCCAGAATATATATGTATATATATAACACAGAAAAAAAAAAAAACTCACAAAATCTTACTTTCAGTTTTAGGTAGCTTTCAGTTCTGTGAGGTCGCTGAAGAATAACAGGTTAAGAACAATGGACTTAATTCTGAGACACACGATGTAGTTAGGATTCCATTCCAATCCATTCCTTTCTATTCCGAAAGTTAGGTTATAGATACGTTTACTTTTCCTTTTTAAATTCCATTAACTGTCACAAAAGCAGAGCGTTCAGGAGAACAATCACACTTGGTAGCAGTAGTCTATATTCTGACATGCAATTGTAGTCTTTAACTTTCAAGTAGGGTTTCTTTAAAAATGTTTGCTTCCCAAAACAGGTCACTCATCGGATTGGGCCCTGTAAAGGAGAGAAACTGATAAGCACTGTAACCTAACAAGGACAGTGGAGGACTCTTCTAATGGCGCTTTGTCAGAAGCTGGCCCCTCCTCACTTAGAAAGCAATGTGTTCTTATAAGCAGATAAATGACCTCTCCTGTCACTCAGTTACTTAAGAAAACAACCTAAGAGGTCACAACACCTATTCGACCTGGCATCTATTTAAAGGGAATAACTGAGGCAAAACTAAGGCATTTCAGCAACCGATGTGAGCAGCAAGCTACTGGGTGCAGGCACTCCCCTGCACTCTGGGGTTCACAGGTCTCCTGTACCCTGAGGAGAGAAAGCTCTCCCAGAGTGAACATAATAAAAGCCCCTCAAAATATGTACGTAGAATACTATCGTGATCTATAGGCAAGAATAGGGCATGTTAGAGAAGATTCAAAAGAAAATACATATAAGGATGTGCGTCATGAAGCCGTATAAAATAACCAGAAGAAACATGAGGATTCCCAGAGACAATGAGTCTCCCATGTATAAGAAAACAAGAAAACGACAGTTGATAAAGCAACTCAGAGAAAGCTTTAGAATCCAGAGCAGCAGTTATCCAACCATGGTGCTCAGACAGGTCTCTGGGTGTCCCAATACACTTTTAGGGGGACTCTGGAGCCAAAACTGTATTTATCACCATAATATTAAGAAACGTATACGCCTGTAATCCCAGCACTTTGAGAGGCCGAAGCGGACGCATCAAGAGGTCAACAGATCCAGACCATCCTGTCCAACATGGTGAAACCCTGTCTCTACCAAAAATACAAAAACTTAGCCGGGCGTGGTGGCGTGTGCCTGTAGTCCCAGCTACTTGGGAGGCTGAGGCAGGAGAATTGCTTGAACCCGGGAGACGGAGGTTGCAGTGAGCCAAGATCACGCCACTGCCCTCCAGCCTGAGACTCCATCTCAAAACAAGAAAACAAAAAACACGTACTTGCCTTTTTCACTGTGCTAACATTGCATAAGGAGAGCAAAAGTCATGCTGGGTCAATGATGAAGAGAAGATGAGGAATCGAGGAGCTTACTGCACTAGGTGCCGCTGAAGTCTTCACTGCTACACACACACTGTAAACAACCAACCAAACATGACGCTGCTTTCGGTTAGGCACGTCCTTGGTGAAGCAGTGAAAAGTGTTCATTATGTGAAATTTCCCTCCTGAGTACCTGCTTTTTTCAAATCCTCAGATGAAATCCAGCACTTCTGCTGCATAGCAGCGTGACTGTTGACTGCAGGAGGGCGCTCATGCAGTGGTTGGAGTGAGAGTTCGCTACCTACTTTTTGGTAGTACTTCGCTTCTACTTGAGAGAATGACTGACAAACCATGGTAATTCATAAGCAGGCATTTGGCAGACTTTTTTTTTTTTTTTTTTCAAACATGAACAAAGTGACCCTAAGGGAAACATCTGACAGTACTTGTTATTCATTATAAAATTCAAGCTTTCAAGTGAAAAGTAGAATTTCAGAAAACGTGTGTCTGCCATTAGCTTGGCAGCTTACAGCTTCCATACTTAAAACTCCTTCTTTTGAGAACAGTGGTGGTATTAACAAGTGTTATTTGTGTCATAAAATGTATCAACAATTGGAAAATCTGCAGCGTTTCATGAACAAACCTTTTCCAAATGACTAATGCAAAATTCTACAAAATCACTTCTGGTTAAAAGATCTCTTCAAAGTGAAAGGACGACCAATCAATTTTAATGTAACAGGTTATAAGAAGTTCACTAATATAGTTCCAGGTTACACATTGCAACTAACATGTAAGAAATTACCACTTGTTTAGTGCTGATGTGGTATCTATCTATCTATCTATCTATCTATCTATCTATCTATCTATCTGTCTGTCTGTCTGTCTGTCTGTCTATCTATCTATCTATCTATCTATCTTCATAATTTTCTGAAAAGGTAATTGAAATTCTCCTTTCTTTTTCATATCTGTGCAAGGCAAGATTTCCTTCATACATTTTAACCAAAACAAGAGACTGCAATAGACTAAATGCAGGAGCAGACGTAAAAATCTGAAAATCTTCTCTTAAGCCAGATGTCAAAATATTTGCAAAAATATGAAATAATTTCACTATTCTCAAAACTGTTTCTAATAGAAAATATTTTAATAAATGTATTATTTATATTAAAATACAGTTTATTATTTTAACACATGCTTAAAATATTTTCTCAGTTTAATATCTAATAAAGTGAATATTGATGGATGTATCCTATATAAAAAATAGTTCTTGGGGTCCTCGATAATTTTCAAGAGTATAAAAGTGTCCTGAAATAAAAATGTTTTCAAATCATGGATCTTTTCTAGAAGAAGCATGTCTCTCTTACTTATTGTTAAATTATATGAATCTAGGACAGTGCCCAGCACACAGTAGTTGCTGAATAAATACTTAATAAAGGCAGAATTAAACATGTATTCAATCTTAACTGACTATAAAACTGCTAGTAATAATTTAACAAGACATTGTTTATAATAACTAAATGCATACTTGTATGTATCTATAAATATATACAGTCAACTCTTCAGGTTGTTTTATTTTAGCATTTTTATTGACATATTTTTCACGTATGCAAAATTCACCAGTTACAAGAGTACATATAGCATTTTGTTTGTTTGTTTTAGCATATTCGCTATGCTCTGCAACAATCAGTATGAAATCCAGAATTTTCTGATAATCCAAAAAGAAACCCTGTACATATTAGCAGTTAATGGCAATCTCCCATCATCACTGGCAACCACTAATCTATTTTATGTTTCCATGTATTTTCTTGTTCTGAATATTTCTTCTCTATGGAATCATACATTATGTGGTCTTTTGTGTCAGACTTGTTTCACTTAGCATAATATTTTCAAGGTTCCTCATGTTGTACTATGTAACACTACCTCATTCCTTTCTATGATGGAGTAATATTCTATTGTATGAATATAATGGACATTTGCCTTTTTTCTACTTTTACCTATAATGAATATGCTGCTAGGAATATTGGTGTATAGTTTTGTGAGATAATTTGTCTTACTTCAGATATGACTTTGTTGTGTCCCCACCCAAATCTCATCTTGAACTGTGTTACCATAATTCCCCCATGGTGTGCAAAGGACATGGCAGGAGATAATTGAATCATGGGAGCGGTTTTCTCCATACTGTTCTCATGGTCGTGAATAAGGCTGACGAGATCTCGACGGTTTTATAAGGGGAAACCCCTTTGACTCAGCTCTCATTCTCTCCTGCCGGCCACCATGTGAGACGTGCCTTTCACCTTCCACCACGATTGTGAGGCCTCCTCAGCCACGTGGAACTGTGGGTCCATGAAACATCTTTTCCTTTATAAATTACACAGACTCAGGTATGTCTTTATCAGCAGTGTGAAAATGGACTAATACACTTCTCTCAGGCATTTACCTAGCTGTGGAATTGCTGGTTCATATGGTAATTCTATGTTTAACTTGTTGAGAAATTGAAAACTTTTTTTTTCATAGTAGCTATACCATGTTTCATTCTTACTAGCAATGGATGAAGATTCCAATTACTCTACATCCACACCAATAGTTGTTTTGTTTCTGTTTGCTTATTTTTTAATTATAGACATCTAGTAGGTGCAAAGTGGTATATCATTGTAGGTTTGATTTGCATTCCCTAATGACAAATGCTAGTATCTTTTCATGGCTTATTGGCCATTTGTGTGTCTTCTCTGGGGAATAGCTTAATCTTATACTTCGCTCATCTTTTAATTGAATTGTGTTTTTACTGCTGACTTGTAAGAGTTCTTGAAGCATTCTAGATACTTAATCCTTGTCAGACATATGTTTGCAAATATTTTATCCTATTCTGTTACTTGCTTTTCACTTTCTTGATAGTATCCTTTAATGCATAAAAGTTTTTAATTTTGATAAAATATAATTTATCTATTTTCCTTTGGTTGCTTGAGCTTTTGGTGTCATATATAAGAAATCATTGCCTAAAAAAAATTTTTCATATTTTCACCTATGTTTCCTTCTAGGAGTTTTATACTTATACTTATTAAATTTGGATCTTTGATCTATTTTGGGTTAGGTTTTGTATATGGCATGAAGTGAAATTGGTGTTCTGATTCATTCTTTTAGAAGTGGATATTCAGTTTCTCCAGCAAGTATTTTCTTTATAATATTTAGTTGTTAGTGTTCCCTTGGTATGTGGTGAATGAACCAAACAGACTTGTGTAGAAGCTACTTTTTTTTTTTTGTCTGCTCAGTACATTTCTCCTTTTCACTTTTTTTCTCTAATAGACTCTGTCCTTCTTAAGCTGTCTGCCATTCAAAGATCTTTTTTCGCTTGCTATGGTGGGTTCCTATTAGCATAACCTATCCAAATAAGATGTCATGTTGCCAAAGCTACCTATCTTGTTATTTAAAATGAGGCATAAAATTTGTTTACAGACTGAATTTTAGAGGAAAAATGTAACATTACATAGTATCTGGCTTTGAATCATTTACAGGGTGACCTGAACATCTTCCAGGTTTGCAGAGATTAGAAGAAGAATTTCTATCAGGACCAGTCTTCAGCCATAGGGGTTCTGCTTCTCGGCTTCTATAAACAACCAGACAAATAGTGGTGGCCATAGAAACTGTAGGGAATTCATAGAATTTGTAAAAACTTGAAAAACTAAATCCTACATTTAGACCTAGATCTCTTAACATTATTTATGTTATGAAATAATAGTAATAATAAAGTAAGAGTACAAGAGCAAAACAACAGATATATCCTACTGAAGTAATTCATGATTCACTTTCTACTAAAAGTATATAAAAAAATATAGTGTTGTGTTAGGAACACAGTACAGGAAAAAAATGGATAAACCTAGTTTTTAAAAACATTTTCACCTTGTTTCTCTGACAAAAGAAAAATAGAAAAGCATATCTGATACCACATCTTAGATGTTAAAAAAAATCAAATACTACACTGAGATCTTTGAGCTTATCTGGTACAGATAAAGAAATTAAAGTCCAGAGGAAAAAATAATTTTTTCAAGGGCACATTGTTAGAGATGGAAGTTAGATGGAGAGCTAGAATGAGAACCTGTTGTGGTCTCACTTCCAGATATTATGTTTTCAACGACAACACCACTGCCTATATTTATAGTCCCTATGGATTTTTCTGCTTTTTTTCTTGTTATGTATGGAATATTAAGAGATACCATCACAAGTCTCTTGTCTAAGAAGAAAGGCAAGAATAACAGCTACAATTTCTTTGGAAACACGCTGTTAAACTGAGTCTCATTTTTGCAAGATTGCAGATTTCTTTTGAATCAAAAATTATAGTTTCTAAAAATAGCTATGAGTCTGAATTGTGCATATGATTTTTGTATCATGTAATATTTTGAAAAATTAAAGGGAATGGAATGAAATCTCTATATTTAAAACTTTTTCACTTTTACAAGAGCAGTTTGGTCATATTTATTTATCCAGCTAATATTTATGAAGTGCTTAATATTTCATCATATTTTTATTTTTTATTATATTTTGCAGAGAAAAAACAGAAATTTAGTTTAATAAAGCCATGTGACAATCAGTGAGGGTACTATATATTGCCATGAATATAGCATTTATAAAATAGAAATTAAATTTATTTCTGAATCATTAATTGTCCTATGGTTAATACAAAAAAAAACTACTAAAATAATATTTGAAGGATACCACATAATAAAATAGCCATCCTTTTAAAGCCATGACATCTCATCTATTGCTAATAAAATAAAATCCAGTTAGTAAACTTTTTAAAATAGTTTCCATAATTTTGCTTGATGATGCAATAGACTTAGAATTGAAAGTGATATTAGATCACATTTCAAGGTGTGCCAAATATCTTTCTAAAATTAATACTAAAATAGTACATAGAGTGTTTATATTTTACATGAAGTCTTTTTTTTCTCCAGACATGACACTATTCTAAACTCATAAGTCAAGATTAATTCAAAGAAAGGATAGCCAATATAATGATGTATCTACTAAAATTGTGTCACAGAGTGTCAATAGAATACATTTTGTAATCACTTTGTCCAGATTCTATGACATTGTACAAATCTTGACAAGTTTTAGTTTGAGATAATTGCATTATTTCTTATATTTTTCATCAAACCACTTGAAATTTGGGTATTTACATCCATGTCACACATGGACTCAACTTAAACTGACACCACAATATTAAACTATGATCAGTGGAAGAAAAGAAGCCCTTACTAAAATGAAGCATCCAGAAGCGAGTTACACTACAGCTGCAAGCCTTTCATCATGATGGTTCTTCTAGGGAACATCTTTACGTGGTAGGTTTTCTTCAAGATACGGATTTTAGCTTTTCATGACAAACACTCTATTCAGTATGGACAACCCAGAGAGCAGTTCCTAGGTGGAAACACACCAGCACGGCTCACAGGAGAATAATGTTTACAGGAGCATGTAAATACGTTTGGTTACAACGAAAAATAAATCTGCTCGGAAGATGAACTGCTTCCATCGGCTGTTCAGTTCCAGCTGCTCTGCAAATTAAATATCTGTTTGAGCCACCCGGATCTACGTTCTAGTAAAAGATCATTTATTATTTGGCAGCCCAAAATTAATTCATATGTTAAGTAGATGTCATAATATCTGATCTGCCTAATTCACAATACTTCTGTAAAGGTAAAATAAGATTAATCATATTAAAATATACATAATCTTTCAAGAGAAGAAAAGATCTTAACCTAAACAGGAAAAGAAATAAAGGGCTCTATATTGTAAATAAAAAAAAATACATTTTATGAAAACAGACTTGTCCATCCCTCTAAGAACATACATTTAAGAACATATAAATACCCTTGCTTTAAGTATTTCCTTTTACTGCATGATATTCAATGCAATTTGGTTTTTATCTGAAGCTTGGTTAAGTTCAAGATATTGTTAAGATGAATTATACCATTTTAATTATCATTTACCACTGCTGATAGTACATTTTTTTAAAGTCGTTAAATTTATGAGTACCTCTCAATTTCATCAAAAGTATATGTAATATCAAAACAGTTCCTTAATGGAGAGTTCAGAGCAATAGTTCTGACCAAAAGGTCTAACCAAAGCTTCTGACCAAATCTTATTGTAAAAAAATAATAACAATTCAATATATCGGTTGGTAGAATAGGTAGGTTCCTTCAAAATAAGACTAAAAGGGGCAACAGAGACTAAGTCCATTTAACATGCCAGTGGAGAGGAATGGAAATGATTAGATTCGGCAGCAGAGTAGCATAGCGGTCAGCAGCTAAGGCATCTGAGTTCAACAGACTTTGGTTTGAATCCTGCAGCTGATGGTACCTAGGTAATCCGAGAAAGTCACTAATATTTTTCACCCTCTTAGGTGCTATATTAATTTTATATTACATTTTAACACATTTTGAATTGAGGGATGACCTGCTTATAGCAAAGCACGTTAAGTTCTGTAATGTGATCGGTCACCACTTTGAGACATAGGCAATGTTCAATACCCCAGGATTCTCCACACCCCTCCCCAGGCCATACCGCGTAACCACTCCGATGGCTGCTGTCACCATTACAGAGTTGTATCTGTTCTTAAACTTCAACTGAATGTTCACTTATCATCATAATTGATCTTCTTGGCAATTTTAGATATCACTTATATCAAACATCCTTCTTTCAAAAATTTACTTTTGGCTTCCATGATGAAAATTCACTACCTCCCTCTTTCCTCATGACCATTTCTTCTCCTTTTTTACAGATAGTCTCCTCTGTCCACACTTAGATGTTGGAAGTCACGTAGGCTGTCTTCTTACCTTCTTCTTAACCTTTCCCTTGCCTTATATTCCTCGCTTTCCTTCTGTCTACTGCTCTAGTGACCACTTTAACTTGCCGCTCTCATGTTCTCCCCTTTATCCTCCCTCCCTGTTTATCTTCTGTCCCCTTCCCCTCCTTATTTCATTTTTAGCAACCCCAAATAGTGCCAAGAGTTATACCAGAACACTATGATGTCACAAAGACTAGTAATATCCACCTAGGTCTCTTTCTAAACCTTCTAGTAACCAGTAGACTCCGTGTATAGACGTCAAAAGTTCAACACACTTGCAACTGCTTCTTTTCTCACATTCTTAATCTCAGTGCCTGGAACCACTGTTCATTCCTTCTATCTCCCATGAAATCCTGGATTCAACCTGGATGACCGTTTCTAATACTTCCTCCTGTTATCAGTTACCATATGTTTTGGACTGATTATATATCTATATCTATGTGTGTGTGTGTGTGTGTGTGTGTGTGTGTAATAATCTCTTGTGATCATTCACATTTTTAGATTCACTGTTTCTGCCTATATTATTTCAGACTCTTCATCTTACTAATTTTCACACTTGACATGTTCTTTATAGGATATTAGAATGAGCTTTCTAAAATGTATATACAATTACTTAATTCTTCCCTCAAAAACATTCCAATGAATCTTTCTTACCTAAAAAATTATTTTTAAATTCCATTACACACGCATGTGTGTGTTTATCTGTGATCTTACCTTCTAAATAACCTAATTTAATTACTTGCTATTTTGACCCTTAAATTGGATGTTCCACCTTCCTCATTCTTTGTATATTTGTTCGTTGTACCACTGCATCTTTCACCTGGAAAGCACTTTTCTTCTTGTCTGCAAGGGTTATTCCTCCATTTATCCTTTGAGATTCAATTCATCTATTCTAGAAATATTTTCTGTCCAACTAAGTAGAATTGGCCATTCCCATTTTAGTGTCTGTATTGTACCTCCTTATTTCTGTCCTAAGACTTTATTCCAATTGTTTTATGCTCTAATATCTTTAAAGGTAATAAAAATACCACATATAACTCTCTGTCAATAGGGCTAGAATGGTGTTGGCATATAATAATATAAAACAACAACTTTAATAAAGGGGCAAGTATATACTTTCTCTTTATACATTTAGCCAACATAAATGTTATTTCATTATGTGCATAACATCCCATTAGATGTTTAAAGAGAGCTATCCCTGGATACTCCGACTGTAGGAACTCACACTCTACAGGGGATCACAGATACACACACTCCAACATAAGGTGTTACCACAATAACACAAGTACAAATAATGACTAAATATGGGGATACCCACGTGGAAAATGAGTTCAAATCCATTAGAGGGTGGGATTACAATGTAGACTGTAAGTGTCATACAGGTAATAAAACTGGGCATGGGTTAAGGGCAGGTAATAAAAGCTTTAGAAACAATTTTGAGAATTCAGATTTTCCTGTTCAAGTAGAACAGCCATCAAATACAAGGTAAGCAAAGAGGGCAAGTGAGGAGATTGTACATTTAAGGCTCATTTTGAAGTCTTCATTAGTGTGCATTGCGTGATACACAATGTGCTAAATGTTAGGAAAGATACAACATTTTAACTAATACATTATTGTTTTAACTAATAAAACACATCACAAAGAAGCTTTAAAATTTCCTGATAATAGAATGATTTGTATTCCTTTGGACATATACCCGATTATGGGATTGCTGGGTAAAATGGTATTTCTTGTTCTATGTCTTTGAGGAATTGCCCCACTATCTTTCACAATGTTTGAACTAATTTATATTCCCACCAACAGTGTAAAAGTGTTCCTATTTCTCCACAGTCTCGCCAGCATTTGTTGTTTCTTGACTTTTTAATAATCACTATTCTGATGGGTGTGAAGTGATCTCTTGTGGTTTGGATTTGCTTTTCACTAATGACCAAAGATATTGAGATTTTTTCATATGTTTGTTGGCTGCATGAACGTCTTCTGAGAAGTATCTGTTCATGTCCTTTGCCCACTTTTTGATGGGGTTGTTTGTTTTTTTCTTGCAAATTTGTTTAAGATATGCACACATACGTTTATTGAAGCACTATTCACCATAGCAAATACATGGAATCAACTCAAATACCCATCAAAGATGGACTGGATAAAGAAAATGTGGTACATATACATCATGGAATACTGTGCAGCCATAAACAGGAATGAGGTCACATCCTTTGCAAGGACATGGATGGAACTAGAAGCCATTATCCTCAGCAAACTAACACAGAAACAGAAAACCAAATACTACCTGTTGTCACTTACAAGTGAGAGCTGAACAATGAGAACACATGGACACAGGGAGGGAACCAACACACACTGGGGCCTGTCTGGGGGTTGTGGGGAGGGACAGCATCAGGATAAATAGCTAATGCATGATGGGCTTGATACCTAGGTAATGGATTGATGAGTGTAGCAAACCACCACAGCAAATGCTTTACCTATGTAACAAATCTTCATGTCCTGCACATGTATCACAGAACTTAAAATAAAATATAATTTTTAAAATCCTGATTAAGAAAAAACTTATAACTAAGACACAAGGCATCAGGATCCTAAGAGAATCGCAGAAATGGTAGTATGGCAATATCATCTTTGGCAAAATTTGTGTTCCCTGAAATTAAGGTCTGGTATGTCTTGTACTCCAGTAAATTCTGTTTTCTTAAATACATGGCCCATGCTTGTTTAATGAAAGCTGAGATATACTGACAGTAATTTAGGGAGATGAGAAAATGGCTTTTTAGAGGAGGTGACATTTAAAGTGAACTTTGACAAAGTATAAGGTCTTGCTTTGATGACCAGTATCCATTTTCTTTTCTGACAATTATACTCAATTTCTTTGAAAAGAAATGTCTTTTCTGTTGTGGGCTGTCTTGAGGAAGCTGTCAATCAATAGACTCTTTTGTGCCCTGAGTCTCTTTCCCAGTATCTGGCCCTGACATCGAAGAAAATAAGGAAGAAAAACATACATGCAGCTCGTTTATTCTTGAGGCAGAGCCTCTGTGACTCTGTAGACTAAGTTCTTTACAGGGATGCTGTTTGACCTGTCCTGTCCGAGTCAGGCTGCACAGCTGTTTCTTTGATTTTGTGACCTCCCCATCATTCTTACACGCTGATGTTTTTGCTTCGATCAGGCAAGTAAAGTTGTTTTATTTTATTATTAATAGTAGTCAAACAAAACAAATTGGTGCAATAGTTAATGTACCAAAAAGTTTGCTTTTTTATATTTATGTAATTATTATATTTCGTGGAAAAAGTCACAGTTCGCTGAGCATTACAACATAGCAGGGGGAACCAAATTCACAAACATGGTTCCCCTGCCAACCAAATTGTAGATAGCTCAGTTCCCGGTAGCCTTCATACAAACTTGCCATAGAATGCGAGACAATTCATTGAACTTTTCAAAAAGTTAGTATATAAAAGTTACCATCCTTCACTTATCTAATATTATATTGATCAACTGATCACTACCTTGATTCTAGCTATATTCTTTATATTTTGAAGTCTTCATTGATTTTAATAGTGTTTTTGGTGTGCTATTATAGAATACAGTCATGTGAAGCCTGGCTTCAGATGTGCAAATCTATGTTCTGTAGAGAAAGGAGGAGGGATCATGAGAAATTCCTTTACCGACCAAGTGTCCTCAATGATGAATAGAGAAAGAAGGTACCTGTGTGTGGGTGGGGAGGGAGTGGATGGGGGGAGTCCCTTTATTTATTTTTTTCTTTAATGCTTCTGTTCTTTCCAGTATGCTTTAAAATAAAATATTGAAAACCTTCAAAGGAATAAAGGCATGCAGGTTAGGTGAACAAATAAAGAATGTGTTCGTTTATAATGGTAGTGTATCAACGATTTCAGCAGTGAAAAGACAGAAGGGATTAGGGAAACACAGTTTCCACATAAACATTCCTTTGGTCTTCATTTATTCCATCTGGAAAATAAAAACTAATAAGCATATGATTTTAATCAAAAGACTATCTGGGTCAGGGTAGGGAATTTCCAAATGCCCTTCAGCTGATTTTTGTAAGTTAGCAATGTAACTGGGATGTAAGGGTAGGCTTAGAGGACGACACTCCATCGGCCTTTGCTTCTCTATTACTTCATAAAGATGACTCCTCCAAAAGACTCTTAGATTTGATAACCAAATTTAGTGAATTCTCAGTTTACAAAATCATTGTACAAAAATCAATAGCACTGCTATGCACCAACGACAACCAAGCTGAGAATCAAATTAAGAACTTGACCCCTTTCATAGCAGCTGCAAAAATAAAAAAATAAAATAAAGTGCCTGGGAATGTAGTTAACCAAGGAGGTGAAAGATCTATATGAGGAGAACTACAAAATATTGCTGAACAAAATCGTAGATGAAACAAACAAATGGAATCACATCCCATGCTCATGGGTTGGAAGAATGAATATCATGAAAATAACCATACTGACCAAAACAATCTACAAATTCAATGCAATTCCTATCAAAATACCAATATCACTTTTTAGAATATTTGTTAAAAATGTAAAATTCATATGGAACCAAAATAAGAGCTGAACAAAAGCAATTCTATGCAATAAGAACAAATCTGGAGTCATAACATTACTGGACTTGAAACTATACTACAAGGCTATAGTTACTAAAACAGCATGGTACTGGTATAGAAGTAGACACATACACCAATGGAACAATATAGAGAACCCAGAAATAAAGTCAAATACTTACAACCAACTGAATTTTGACAAAGCATACAAAATCATAAATTGGGAAAGTACACACTGTTTAATAAATGGTTCTGGGAAAACTGGCTAGCCACATGTAGAAGAAAGAACCTGGATCCCTATCTCTCAACTTGTACATACATCAATTAAAGATGGATCAAAGACTGAAATCTAAGACCTGAAATTATAAATTTCTAGAAGTTAACCTAGAAAAAACTCTTCTGGACATAGGCCTAGGCGAAGAATTAATGAATAAGACCTCAAAAGCAAATGCAACATAAACAAAATAAATTAATGGGACCACATTAAACTAAAGAACTTCTGCACAGCAAAGAAATAATTATCAGAACTAATAGACAATCTCCAGAGCAGGAGAAAATATTTGCAAACTGTGCAT